ACTAATATTGTTAAGCCAATTAGAACAGATGTACAAGTGGACATGGGTAAAAATTGATCTAATATTTTACAAGAACTAGGGAAAGCAGTCAAAAGAATAACATTTCTTCATTCCTTATACCTCGCAAAACTTTAAACCCTCTGCACAATGGGATTCCCGAATCCTCTATATGATCTTATTCTCCAACTGATTTGGTTCTCAAGTTACACTTTCTTTTTCTTTTTTTTTTTTTGGTCTTTTGTCTTTTTCCGTGTCCGGCAATGGATTGCAACCCTCAGTGTTGCCCCCATACCGGACCGGGGACTGGCAACGGGATCGCAACCCTCGGTGTTGCTCCCACACCTCGCTCAGCCAGTGAGCGGGAACCGGTCTGTATGTGGGATCCGAACCCTCGGGCGGGAGCGCCGCCGCGCTTCCCAAGCGGCGCACTATCCAGTGCGCCACCGGGCCGGCCCTCAAGTTACACTTTCCATTAGTGTTCAGATGCAAACATTTTTAACCACATCCGAGGGAACTTCATTCAGAGACACTCAAATTGATGCTTTTACAGATGCTTTTTCCTGTCAAGTGGAATCTCCAGAGAAACTGAAACCACTGAAATAAAGAATTCTACAAATACTGATAAATCAAGCTACAGTGGGTCATGATTTTTTTTGTAGTTTCATTATTCACTGTTTTAACAGATATTACAAGCAACAGTTTACTAGTCAAGATTGAAACTGATGGTTTTATTATTTGAGTATGACTCTAAGACTAAATTCAAGATGAGAAACCTTGACCTATTATAAACTTCAGTGCACAGAATAGCACACTTCCTTCAAAAAACATGACATAATCAGACCAAAATGATAGACTTTTAAAGTCGTTTTGCAAATTATCTTGTGAGGTAATTTGCCTGGCCAGAAATCAGATAATCATGGTCCTCAGTTTGACACTAATATGAGACCCGACATACAGGGGCCATCTGGTCCACCCATAGTCCTAGAATAGCTTTCGAAATCTTTTTAGCTTCAAATACCCAAACTCAAACCGAACCAGTCTTAGAATCACTGGACACAGAAACCCAAACTAACTTTTTATTATGAATCGTTCAACTGTATGGGAAATTTTAACTTCTTGGGCCTAGAGATGTTTGATGCACAGATGCAGACAGACCGGTGTTTTAATTGCCTCCAGGAAGTGTTCTGAGAACACTCCAGTTTTTTAAGGATCGTCTGGCATAAAAACCCAAACAGAAGAACTGCTGCTACTAAAATGCACCTGCTTAGAAAGCAAAGCTCATTTGAACAGTATGGAAGCACAAATAAGTCTTGGTTTTAAAACCATGGGGATTTTGTTCTTCACCAGCAGTGAAACACAAACAAGAATGGATGCGTTTCTCTTGGCAGATTTGGTCTGGAACACAATGGAGCCTCAGTTAAAATATATAGAAACCTAGATGTATGCTAAACTGAGCTCAGAGACTAACTTGTAATAAGTGGACTTCACACATGGACAAATTAATTTTTTTTTTTTTTCCCTTTTTGTCTTTTTTCGTGAC